AATGCTTACCAAGGTCATGTTGTTTCGTACACATTAACTAAAAAAATTTCTCGTATTTAGGGTTTTGAGGTTTGTCTAGGTGTTGGGGAGATTGGGACCTAGCTGACGTGCACTTTTTGGCGGCCGTCATCGTCAGCGGGATAGGCTCTGAGCAGCCTAGGTGGTCCTGCCCGTCAAAAAATCTGAACGACTAGTAGCGTTCTAAGCATTCCAGTTACTTATGTTCTCTTCAAACTATGTTTCTTCGACCTTTCTTTTGTTTTTTCTCTAGTTGTTATTTGTTGTTCGCAGGATTCCAACTGTGTAGTTGAGTTTTTAGTGTGCGGGTAGAATTTTCACTTGCTTCTAGTTAATAGGAAGTCACCAGCAATTAGCCAAAGGGTTGTTTCTATTTAGTTTGGTCATTTTTTTTTAGTCCAGCGACGTATTTTTATTAATTTCGCTTTATGGGAGCTCGGGATTGGGATATGCTGAGAGGAAGAAGAAAGCATAGTTGCTTTTGTATTAGGAGCGGTCTGGTTGTATAGACGTGAAGTAAGGAAAGTTCCAGTCGTTATCGATATTGATGAAATGGATGAAACTGAGTATACTTTATTTTATTCATTTAGCCTAGTTTAGTGGGGATTCATTGTGAGACTTAAGTCTAATTGGTGCACGAGCAACACAGTTTCCATTAAGACTGGCAAAAAGTCTGTTTTTTTAGGCCTCTGCTTTTGAGTGCTGGAAAGGGTCGGTGACTAAACACTGGTTTTCAAATTACTTGGGCATAATATGGAAGTTTTTTTGTTTATTAGTCCATATCCACTGAGAAGACAGTCAGAGAAGGAGTGTTTGGTCTCTTTTCTTGATTTTGATTTGGGCGAAAATTTGTTTTTACAGTCGGTTGCTGGTACCGGAGAAATTGCACTTTTAAACCTTTTAAAGTTTGGGGAATTAGCACAGTGGGGGGTTCAGAGTAACGTCATTGGTGAACTTCCTGTTACGGTTTGTATTTGTTAGGAGGAAGAGTTCCCTGGAGGAGCACTGCATATGGTTTCGGGTTAATGAGGTGGGTGTTTGTATCTTGTTAAAAAAATTGTCGTTTTTTTAAGACTAATTTTTTTTTTTTTAATCAAATTGACATTTTTTCTTAATTGCGTTTTGGCTGTTCACTTTATAAACTTTGTTTTATGCAGATAAATAACTTAAGTGGATTTAAAAAATTTGAGGTTTAAAGAATTAAAGTTGTCCGGGAAATTCTTTTTTAATTTTAGCTCTGATCAGAGTGCAGCTTTTGTTGTAATTTAGTGCTGAAGTGTCAGCTTGGCATCAGAAGGAATTATGAAGCTATTATTACTTAGGTTTTTTTGGGAACATTTTGCTCACTGAAAGT